TTCTATGAATCTGTGTATCACCATGAGGCTGTTGCTTACCAGAAAGGTTCCAGCTTTGTCATTCTCCTTTGGCAGCCACATGACATCATCTTCATGACTCTACCTACTCTCTCTATATATATTTTCCAGCCTGGATATATTCTGCCCTGCCACAGGCCAAAGCAACTTCTTTATTAACCAATGGTAATAAAACATTTTCACAACATACATAGGAAAATCCCAAATCAATTCACACCATTAACTACAAAATATATTCTTGAATTAGGCTTTTAGTTCTTAACATCCTAAATTAAGGTTCAGTTCAATTACATAAAGACACTAGAATTAACCCCAGGCAAAATCTTGCTTAACTTAGCATTCAAAATTGGAAGCACCTGTCTGTTCTGGTCATTTCTACAGACAGTGCATCGAGTTTTTAATCTCATCTTTAGAAATAGCACTAGATACTAACATTAAATTTAATGCATCTGTTAACAAAATATCATTTTCACTCTTATTGTTAGTGACAATTAACGTCAATTATTCGATTATTTTTCCAATGAGTGCTTGTCCAATCAAAATCACTAAGAAAAGAAAATCAATCATGTGCTTAGCTTTTAACTTTAGGCTTAGGCTTAGTTACCAAATATAAAGTGATAAATAAATAAATAAATAGGATCAGAAAGTGGCTCACTGATATCTTTTCATGTGAAGATCCTATGAGCTGATCATGACTGAGAATTTGTTGAAGAGAAAGATGCTTCTGATATCAGTAGGGTTTTTTTTTATGCCCAACACAAACATAGGCTGATCTCAATTTAAGAGAGGACAGACATGCTATACCTCTTTTTTAAATTGGGGTATTGGAGAAGAGACAGCTGGTTTCTAGGAACTTGGAAGATACGCATCATTCAAGTATTTCCCATGGTGCTATGTTCATAAAGCAAAATTGCTAATACAGCATAAGAAAGCTTGAGGTTCAAAACTAGAATCAGTTTTGAAACAACATTTTCATCTTTTTCTACATCTGAGTTAATGTTTGCAAAATTGTACCACTGTAGCTGTGTTTGCCTTTCTCCTACCGTGTATATAACTCCTGACTTGGTCACTGTCACCTTTTGATCAGGAATCTTGAACTTGAAGCTCTTCATTTTGAAAGCAGAGATAACATGTGTTTTTCCTGCAAGCACACCTTACTATGTCTTGCCCAAGCCCCTACGGGGAGTTTATTTCTGTCCGGTTGAACAAGATACATGAGGTCCCGGGCACACTAATGAGGTATTAGACCAGACAAGGCAGTGTCAGTACATATGGTCACATTCCAGCCTCTGTCACAGACCCTCCTGGAAGTGATCCTGTCTTGTTTTGTTTGGACAGAATGGGGACTTTTTGGTCAAATGTCTGTTCAAGCTGGGAAGGGCTGGCTGTCGGGTGCACACATCTCTGTAGCGGAGGCAGCTTTGCTGGCTCTTCCATGGCCTAGCTGTTGCTCCACTAATTTCCCACTAAGTGCAGTTTGCTTTGATGATAGAGACACGCCCCAGCCTATGAGTGAGTGGCACTATAACTAGCTGCCCTGCTCAGCTTATCTTGAATTTTGACCCTGGGACTCTATGGCCTTCTTCACGCCTGGTCACAGCTTCTGGTACGTTCTAGACTTGGAAACAGTTTCACTAGTGCTCATACAAAGCTGCAGGCAGGAGGTTGGCTGTTACCCTTCTCTGTCATCTTGTGTAGGCTATGACACTTGGCCAGGATCAAGGCCCAGATAGGCCGGGATTTCCCCCTATCACCCTTCACGTAAGGAGCAGGGAGTCGCACGCCTCACTCCAAGACTTGAGATACTGCAGAAGTATGTAGCTTCTCAAGAAGATATTCTTGGGGCGTGAAGCCAGACAGTTGCCTCAGTAACCTTCCAAATGTTTCCACTAACAATGCCGATTTTTCCTCCCCAAACCTGTTTAGCATACTGAGAAAACTAGTGATTTCCGTTTGAGTCCTGCCTTCCCGATTCAGTGACAGTGTTTTCAGGGTCCGACGACATCATGCGGTCACATTTTCCTGTGTTGATACATTGCTTTGGCTGGTTGGAGGTAATGCCTAAATCCAGAGTTCCCTGGGACCATAGCCAAGAAACATTCAGCTACTTAGCCAGAGTTAGTGTCTGTGGGAGCAGCTCTGGGAAAGGCTGTGATGGCTCTGTGACCAAAACCACATAATCAAATTGTCTTGTGAATAAAGGCCTTCCACAAGACATTAGGAAAAACACAACATAATACTTGTAGTGAAAGCTTTGACAGAATAACCTTAATCCAGTAGAAAAACAAAGGAGCAAATTTGAAAGGTAACTTTTTAAAAAATTGGTTTATAGTTACTTAAAAATTTAATAAAATCAGGTATTGCTTTTCATAGTAGAACTTCCAACAAATCTCTTTAGCATACAATTTTTTTTTCTAGACAGGGTTTCTCTGTGGTTTTGGAGCCTGTCCTGGAACTAGCTCTTGTAGACCAGGCTGGTCTCGAACTCACAGAGATCCGCCTGCCTCTGCCTCCCAAGTGCTGGGATTAAAGGTGTGCGCCACCACCGCCTGGCCTTTAGCATACAAATTTGAGTCGACATGATATGCATTATTTCTAACGAGTGCCATTATGCTTGTCCTGCGTACTTAGATTTAATGAAATGTACTGAGATCAGTCCTTAAGGAAAATACAGACATGATGTGTGCTCAATTAAGAACTCACCCCATTACAAACGAGATTATACTGCTAAAGCTGTCCTTATTGCAGCAATGCACAGCTGGGAGCAGAAAGGCAAGAAGTGTGTGCCTGCTCTGTTGCAAGTTTGTGCATTTTTGCAGCAAGAACACTTGGTGTAGCGGAAAGGCTGGTGTGAACTGTTAAACCTTTGCCTGTCATGGCTACGCATGCATTTTATGTCTGTCGAATAAACCGGGCAGCCCCGGAGGTAGAAGTACTCCAATCAGATACACCCTGCACTTCCCAGAGGATGGGATGCTCATTGATGTATTTTGATATGTAACGGACAGCAAAATCATATTTCAATGTTCTATTTAATGAGAGGTTTAAGTGGCACCAAAGATCAATGTGATACAAGCCATCCACTAGAAGGCCCTTGCTCCAGAGACTCTGCAAGACTCCTAGACACAAGGAAACTAAATTCAGTACCATTTTGGCCGCTTGACACCCCGCTCAAAGATGAACAAGATTGGTGGCACTTTCTTTTATATTTTGCAGTGTGTGTCCTAGAACTCAATAGCCGTGAAAATGGGTCTTCAGCATTATATCCCATTCCAGGCAAGCCCCAGGTCGTCTGTCATCACTTCAAGCTTGATTTCCTACTTATCAGATTGGCAGCAATCATGTCTTATGTTTGAAAAGCACGTCTTTGGTTATTTTAACAATTGCTGTTAGGACGAGTGGACGTGAAAATATAATGTGTTGGGGGTTAGATTTCTATTTCTTATGCAATAATATGCAAGTAGAAAATATTGAAGTTATATTTGTGTTCATTATGATGTGTTCACTCAGAAATGATAGCATAATAGAATTTTAGGCACCTCACCATTAAACTAAGTCAGTGCACTATGGGCAAATCCCTAGACTGATAACTCAGAGGAAGGGGGTTGCTTCAGACGTTCTCCTGGACCGAGGTACATAGCAATCTCTAGGGAATTTGAAGTCACTTTGCTATTAAATTTGAAAATCAGTGCCTCCAATGCTCAGGAAAATGTGCCAACAGCATTACTTGTTAGGGAAGAACTGTGGTTTCCCAGGTACCCACCATTTCAGGAGAACTTGTAACTCTAGGACTATATACCACTGCCAACTACAATGCATTTGAGATTGAATTTACAAAATAAATAGATTTTAGGTCAAGATAGAGAGAAATAAAACAGAAGATACTATTCTGCTTTTGTATGTATAAAATGAAATATGTCTTAAGTTCCTAAATCAAACTTTTGTGTTAAGTCATTAAACCTCAATAATAAGGTAAAAAATTCAAAAACCCACAATTAATCATTACAACACAAAACCGTGATGCCTTTCAAAGACGTGAAAACACTTTAATACACTTTATAGTCTCTACACATTTTATGAATAATTTCATTTAGCTTTAAGTACATTTGATCAACGAAATTCCAATTTACAAAATTGAAGTAAATAAATGCAGAAATATCTTCATTGTCAAACTATAAAATAAGAGTAGCTGTTCTTATTGAGATACCATTTTTGTTTTTCTTTAGCTATTGGAGTGAATCATTTTGGTATATTAAATAATGCTTATCATATTTAAAATAGTGGAGCATTGAGATTTGAATACAATGACAGGAATCCACTGAAATTTCACATTCATAGGTGAAATAGCCACCATGAATCCATAAGTGAATGTTGATATTGTAAAAAAATATAAAATGATTGTAATATAACCATCTAACCTTAGCATACGGACTTTTGAGACCACTATTGAATCTGCTAATTCTCTTTGAAATAGAAGCCATCACTTTTCTGTGATATGTGACATGTCTTTGTCCCTTAATAATTTGAAATTTCATTAGTGTAAAAATATACCAAAGTAAATAAAAAAAGGAGACGCTTATTTACAAAACAATGTTGTATACATATTATATAAATGCAATTGTTTCAGAGTCTTTTATACAATATTGATAGAATCAGTCATTTCCATGATTTTACCGCAAAACTTCGATGTGACGAAGGCAGACCGGGAGTTTGAATGCTTGCTAGAAATGAACACTAAGGCTGCCCTTTTAAGACAAAGTTTCTCCCACTGTGCTAGAGAATTGAAAGTTGACCTCTAAAAAAAGAAAAAAAAATCTTCTTTAAAGAAAATGTATCCCCACTCAGAGCTGCGTGGCAATGCGCTTGATATGGGAGAGCCGTATCTTACAGAGTGTGCTCTGTTTGAGGAACCTGTAGGAGCCATTCTGCCCATGGCTTTAGCGCCACTTCATGGGTTAGTAATACCATGTCCAATTAGAATAGGAATGGGAGCGTATGGAGAGGCCGCCATTCCAGTTCTGTGGAATCTTAGCATACCAAGGGTACGATACAAATAAACAGTGTACATGAATAACAACCCTGCGCTTCCCAACGGCTACATAACGATTTTTCCGTGAATATTAATTGAAACTGTTAGAAATAAGACTTTGCCTTTAAAGCATACCCCTTTAATTCGGCAGACCACAAGAAGCGCTGTGTTCTTGCCTGCCTCGATTGTAGTTGTGAGATCTATATACGTGAACAAAAATGCAATTTGATCTCCTCCTAGCTCAGAACCTCTGGAAATCATAAAATGTCCTATTATATGGTTTATTGGGATGGTTAAATGGCTACCATTGCAAACATTCTCTCTTCTAGTTCCTCCGCTGTAGCTTGTGCTTAAGTTACTATCGCATACTCAAGGCCTAGAGCCTGTGGTACATAATTTCACAGTTTCAAAATTGAGGGGGAAGACCTTCCATGGCTTAGGAAGCCCTGGACATACCGCGAAGCTCACGAGCACCCGCAGCGATCTACGACCATGGCTGGAATTTTCCCGTATATGATTTGTTCTTTGCCATTAAAATATAGCATATTAATAGGAGACATTTTTGTGGGTGTGCAGCAAGGGCCCGCTGAGCCCCGGGGGTTTGCTTGGTGCACAAGGTGAGTATGGGGATATTTTTGTAAAAACACAAATTCACACTCTCCGGAGCAGTAATTGGCTTTATATCTCTTGGGCGCAATGATCCAGTCCCATCCGAAGGCTTCAAAATCCACCGTGAGCGGGTAGCGGCAGCAGCGGGACTCGGTGGAGTGTTCGTCACAATCAAGACCGAAGTCTCGTCGGGACCTTTTGGGCGTGTCCGTTACTTTGACCTCTAAGAAGGGATTCTGTGTGAAAAGGAAAAGAGCAATCGTGTTAACAGAGCCGGGTATCCTTCCTGCCTTAGAAGCCGTCGTATGAAGGAGCGTCATAGAACAACAGCCAACAAACACTTCCCTGTGGTCAGTTCACGCTACGCCTGTTAAACCTTTGCTTCTTTTGGTATTATTATCAGACACAAGAGCAGATAATAGCGTAAGAGAGGCTTTGAAATGTGTGCATAAGGCAAGAGAAAGGCGGGAGGGATGAACGCCGCCCCCGGCACTGTGGATTACTATCAGCTGCTCGTGTCTGAGGACTCTTGGAGGGACACGTACCCATCTAGTCTCTCTTCCTAGGTTTTTGCTCAAAGAAATGGGTCTATTAAAGTCAGAACAAAATAGCTACCTCTGGGTATGAATGTGGCTTGGTGGAAAGAGGGTTCACCTCTCATGTGCAAGGTCCTGGGTTCAATCCCAGGACCACAGCAGAAGGCGGCAGAGGAGGAAGGGGAGAAGACTTTGCTTACTCTATGACAGCCTCGATTTTCTACTGCATTTGAGACCATTTCCCTTGAGAGGGAGAACTCTAAGGAATAGCATGTTAGCCACCTTTTAAATAATGAAGGCCTAACCCATTAGAAACCTTGATAATTAAAATACTATCTTTGAAAGAGAACATTCTTAAACAGCTGATAGCAATTTCCTCTTGTATCACGAAACTAGGCCTGCGTGCTGTCAAAGAGGGTGTCATTTGGGGAATGGAGCATTTCAGAAGCACATACAAAGAAAATAGGTCCTCTAGGAAACTGCAGTACTTCAAACAATGTGCTTTGCTCCCAACAGACCTAGTTTCTGGACCACACATCCCCAAGCTCAATCAAAGGATTAAAAAGATGTCTATTGCTTCGAAGTATAGCATTCTGATGTAAATTCTGACAGTGGATGAAAATCAAAATACGTTCACATCGAGGTTTTGAACGCAGAAGTAAATAAAAGCCCCAGTAAGACCTAAAAATGACTTGGGTTTAAGTGGGTATTGAGCCGGGTGGTGGTGGCGCACACCTTTAATCCCAGCACTTGGGAGGCAAAGGCAGATGGATCTCTGTGAGTTCGAGGCCAGCCTGGTCTACAGGAGCTAGTTCCAGGACAGGAACCAAAAAGCTACGGAGAAACCCTATCTTGAAAAAAAAAAAGTGGGTATTGAAATGCTTTTATTCATTTTCATAGTGTATGAAGTATTCTCATATCACCAACTTGCTACTTAGTTAGTCGGCAGTCCCTGTGTAAATTACTGTACAAGGATGCTGAAGTAGTTTGGAAATAAACTAGGAGGCAGAGGCTGTCTGGGTTGGAAATCAGTGTTACTGGCAGCCACTGAACATATTTATTAGGGGATGATGAGCAGAATATATTTAATTAAGCCGGGCGGTGGTGGCGCACGCCTTTAATCCCAGCACTCGGGAGGCAGAGGCAGGCGGATCTCTGTGAGTTCGAGGCCAGCCTGGTCTACAAGAGCTAGTTCCAGGACAGGAACCAAAAGCTACGGAGAAACCCTGTCTCGAAAAATATTAAATATATATATATATATTTAATTAAGTATGTCTATACTTATAAAGGTATTGTAATTAGAATTTTAATATTTTTTACCTTATATAAAAAGCCAGCATTTTTCAATGGATTGAGAAGCAAAAAAAAAAAATGGAAAAGGGAAAAAGTTTTAATTTAATTCTAGATTCTGCAGAGTTATGTTGTGATGTCATAAGTTTATGCATATGGTATGTAGCCCACAATGAAAAGGGCATTACATCCCATTCCCAATAAGGAATGCGTGAAATTATGAACTGTGATGCAACTGTTTTTCAGTCTTCATGGAGAGCTTCACAGGACATGTGACTGGCACCTACTCTCTTGGGCACAGACCTAGTTGGTGTAAGATGATTTTGGCTGCCTTATGCACAGAGAAAATCACAGTTATCTTTCCCCTATTATCTTTCATATAAGGACTACAAGTACAGCGTGTTGTTAAGAGCATTGCTTTCAGTTATCACTCACCAGCCCGTCTTCCCCTGGTCCTGGGAAGGTTACAGCCAGATCTTGCCCATTCTCATCCAAAGCTTTGAGTTCAATGCCTAAGTTGGATTCAGGCTGTTTGAGCCAGTTTTGCAACACTGTCTTCACATCAATACTCTGCCAAATACCAGCGCCTGGGCTCATGTCGAGTTTCAGAGATCGGATTCCAGTGTACCTCGTACCGTCTTTCATGGGTTTGATGAGTCTCAGGATCTGCACAAACACTGTCGTGGGGGTCTTCACGGGTCTCAGATGGATCCACAGCTGGGCTTTCACTACTTTGTTGTACTGGATTTTAGAGCTAAATTTAAAAAAGCAACATTTGGGTTTTCCATCCACTTGCATTAGAAAATCAGCTACAAATGAACAAGAAAAGAATGGTTGACATTAGGTCCCATGAAAACATAAATAAAAAAAATCACTCCTTAACAATAGATGTTGGGATAATGTGTACAGATGTGGCCTTCCAAAATAAAACACGAGGTGGAACTTCATTCATGACTCCTAAGAACTGTCAGGGAAAATAATTGTTCTAGCTCTTCAGATTTTTCTTAGATAGCTTATATTATCACGAATATATTCCCTTCTATAGAACTAGGGGCTGAGGGATATTTTGTGGAAGAATGAACGGTAAGTAGATGATGATTCAGAGAACAAGAGACAGCGTGGAGGAACATCCACTTAGAATTCTTTGGGAATCTGAGCAGTTATGCTCACTGAACAGCTGTACCAGTCACTCTGGGGGAAGGAACCCTTCCCCCAGGCCTCAATTACCTGGGGAACGAGACACAGGGAGCAATTTAACTGAGCCTCAGAAATGACAGACAATATCGTACATCTGCGACACTCGGGCTCTGGAATAGCCTTTCAAAGGAACGACACGAAAACTCAGAAGTCATGCTCACGCTATCTCCAAAGCCAGAAGGCAGTGGCCCTGGAGCCAGACTTTCACTGCAAGCGAAAGTTCAGCCTTCGCAATCCCTTCTCTTCTGGGCGTGCAAACAAGGGAGGCCTTCTGCTGAACGGTTGGACCCAAGAGTCATAAATGAAGATTGTTTGTTATAGCATAACCTAAGTACTTAGTGAAAGGCTGGTTTGAGAGCAGGTCGTGTCTGCTTGGAAGTGCTTAAAGCGCGGTGTTAAAGCCAGATCTCAGACACATGGCACGGCACTCTGGCGTGTCCTCCAGCTCCCTCAAGCCACCTGTCTTCATTTTGAGAGAAGGGAGAAGGGGGACTGCCTGAAATGGGCTAGCTCCCAGAAGCAGTGCTGTTCTTATAGGTAATAGTCCTTCCCCTCCTAAAGAATAAAACGTTTTAGAAGGCTATAGCCACTGCTCTGTGGAAGTACACAGCCCGGACACTCTCAGCCCAGGGCAGCACAAGCAGGCTTTTATAGCATAACCTCCCGATTACAACGCTCCTTTCCTGAGCGGTTTCTGATACTCGGTCCTGAGTATGATTTCGCCCCGTCTGCTTCATCGTTTCTCTCACTAATGCATTGGATGCTTGCCTTCCTTAACATTTCGTTGGAAAAGCTCTCACCATTAAATATTCTAATTTGTAGTTTCAAGTCCCAGACGTGTGGAACAGGATTCAAAGAAACACCCAGCAAATTTCTTTCTGTGGTGTTATCGGGGGAAGAAAACTAAGGTATGTTTTAGCCAAACAGATGCAATTGTAAATTCCATGTGAGTTTTAACATTGCTTACAGTAGCTCGCAGTCCTTGCCTCATGAGTGTTAGGCGCTGAGCACATAAACACACTCCACATTTTCCACATAAAATCACACACTATTAAAGCGGGGCCAGCACATTAACTTTGAGATATTTGGCACCGGAAGGAAACAAGCAAGGCAGATTTCCTTGTCAGTATGTTTCTCAGGAAATCTTGAAGGGTGGGGAGAAAATCTCTTTTCTCTCCTACTTACATACAAGCTAAAAGCCTGAAAATAGATCTGCTTCTCATAAACACTAGGGCAGCCGTCAGCGGAACCATTGGTCTACTCTCTCTCTCTCTCTCTCTCTCTCTCTCTCTCTCTCTCTCAGAGCTACTTACACGCTGTAGGCATAGTAATGATGGTCTCCGTGGTAGCGTGGTAATCGTCGTCTTCCAAAGCCCCATCGCTGCTGTCGTCCCTCTGCACATCATACTGATCAATCAGCTCCCGGAGCGGAGGAGCACGGGGCAGAAGTTGCCTAATAGCATCTTTGCTGATGTTAGGAGCCGTTTCCAGGCGGAGTTTACTGAGGATCTGGATTTTGATGGCTTCTATTCTGGAGTCCCTCGTGTTTTGTCTCCAGACGCACGCATTGCACAGCCCCTCTCGCTCCACACTCTCCTCCCGCTCGCTGCCCTCATTGAGATCCACTGGGCCAGCAGCAATCAACATGAAGAGGCAAATATATACATACATCTGCAGTTTTTGCACCATTTTAAAAGCAGCGCGGTCTTTTTTTTTTTTTTTTTTCTCCCCTTGCTCTGATTTCTTCCTTCTGCTTTTGAGTAATGCCAAGCAAGATCTTAGTGCCTGTCCGGTGTGAGAGACAACCTGCCACGCCAGTGAGTCCTGGATACTGTATTCCAAGTGGCTTTTTATATTCCGGCTTAGATGAGACAAGTGTCGTCAGGATCTATGATTGGTTCCTGCTCCACAATGAATCTCGCTGTCAGAGGTTAAAACCCTGTCTGTCACAAGTCACCGAGCAGTATTTTGTTACAGTCGAGGGGAAGCTGATTCATTTGACTGCTTCATAAATGAAATAAATCCCCATTTCGTGAAAGATATATGTGACATTTGATGAATTAAAGTTTGTGTAAGAATATAAACGGTAGTGAAAGCTTATTCATCTTTGTGAAACTCTTGCTGCCACTTGCATTAGTAAATCTGAGTTTACACTTCAGGTTTAAAATGCAAAATGTCAGTCTTTTGGAGAGTTGGCATGCTGTTTGTTAGTAAAGCAAATATTTGAGAGAAAATTGTATCAAGGGCTAAGCAATTAGAGAAGGAAAAAATAGGAAGAGTTGACCGAATTGAAGAAAAGCTAAGGTTTGTGAACCTGGTAGAAAAGTTGCATGGGTAATTTGAGAAGTTTGTTTTCATGGCTTATCTGTTAGTACGTTTTAAATCAGCCTCACTCCGCTATAGGGCACACGAACTTATTTTGATAGCTTAACGTCTTTTGCTACCATGAAAGCTGTGCTTGATTTCAGCTATTGCTCTTGTCTATCAAAAAGACACGAGCCAAATCCTAAGTGTTTCTTTGTTGCTTATTACCAGCGGGGATAATGTTAGCTGAGAGGCTGCGCTGCTTCGCGTAAGCAAAGAATGGATTTTTGTCAGTGGCCCAGAGCGTGATTACACTTTTTGACTCAGACCTCTAGGGCTGAAAGCAGCAGCCCGCAGCCTGTTCTCTATGAATTATGTCAGGTCCTGCGCGCACACAAAGAGAAAGTGGCAGGGAGAGGGTGCCCTTTGTTGTGCCCCCCCCCCCCACACACACAGTCATAGGTTAGCACCCCTTTTGCCCGCGGCTCATTTTGACCAGAGGGCAGACACCTGGCAGGGATCTGGGGCAGAGAATAGTGCTTTTTGTTCTCCGCATTTAAGTGGCCTCTATAGGGATCAAACTCTCACCCTTGGCTTTAGGAGCCACAAGATCTAACGGGGTGAGCTATGAAAGAGCTGAACGAACCAAACAGCAGGAACAGAGAACATTTCCAGGCCACAGCTTCCCTCCTCCTTGCGGGAAAACCGGGAGCAGTCTTCTGCGCTTTAACCCATTACTCCCCCCACCCCGAGCGAATACAGTGGCTCGTATCAAATATTTATTTTTTAGGTCACCTCCATTCTTGGGCACCCATTTACTGCCTCGGTGCACTAACATGCGACCCGTAGCTTGAAAAGTTAATGCGTTTCCCTCACGCGCTTAAGAGGCGTCTCATCTCTTGAGAGAAAAAAAAAAGTGACCCTCCATAATGCACTGGATTTGCCCATCATTAAAGATTAAGGAAAACCAGACGCCCTGGGGTGTTCAGGTCCTCTTTGTGCAAGACAATATTAGGGCAGGCCTATAAAGTTGAGGTCGCCTGGAGAAGTCGTTTCCGATGTAGAATTCCTCGTGGTGTTGTAATGATCACAACAAAGGCAGCTGTAGACCCCGAGTAAATCAGTCCCGCTTATAAACCTGCTTCAAACTGCAGTGCGCTTGCGAGCTCGGGCTGTGGAGTCAGACACACAAGTCGGAATCTCAATTTTGCAGTTTATAACTCGGTGACAAAGGTGGGGTGGCCAGTACTTAATTTCTCGTACGCTTCATTTCCTCGTAGAAATTCGAGGCATATAATCTAGCAATACGTTGCTAAGTGTAAGCCCTTCCTGCGGGAACTAATACCTGGAACTCTTGTTCCTTGTTCCCTGCCCGTTGCTGCAAACTCTCCTCAACGGCCCCACGTCAAGGCCAGGGATTGCGGTCTTACCTGCTATCTCGTTAGGCCCAGAAAGCAAGCCCAAGTACACGATTCAGCTTTTTTTTTTCTTACTAGCTAGAATAAAGCAAAGGTTGCCATTTACCACATAGTCGATTCTCATGATTTGTGGGTTCCATTTTTTTTTTTTTTTTTTTTTTTTTTTTTTGCAATTTGCCTACTCACTGACTTTATTTCTAAAACTCGAGGCTCCTGGAGCTTTCCACATTATTCTCTGCCATCCACTGAGCAGCAAAAATGCTAAGAGCAACGAGAGAGGGTTCCGCCAGCAGTACAGATTCCCAGCGGAGGCTGCGCGGGGCGGGCCCTGCGTCCTTCCTTCTGCTCTACCAAGTATCCAGCTTGTTAAGCTCCTTGACAACCACGTCGTCTACTTTCTTGGGCTTTTAGCTGTCCTTGCTGTCTGCTGCTTGTTGAACACAGCATTGAACGGGGTGCTGAAACCCGGGGCCCTTGAGCATCCTTGAGCACCGGAGGCTGAGGGGAGAGAAGGATGGAGGTTGCCAGGGGTCAGGCGGGAGTGGTCACTGCTGAAGAGTTAGAGCCGGGCAGTTTGGAAGAGGAGAACGTTCCGATAGATGGAATTGTCCAGGCTGAGCCGCATTCTGAGTACACAGAACTCCACTCAACTTAGGACTTTTCCATCTATAATTGACAACCTTTTTTTTTTAATGCTGTGATATGTCTCGTGTAAAGAACACGTTTCTTTTGAGAAAACAGACAAGTTAGAGAAATCCCAGGCCCGAGTTTGCCACTTCTGAGCGGGACTTCATTGGTGATGGATGAATAGATACAGTCTTTTGAGTATGATGCCCGTCTACAGGTGCACACACGCAAGGCAATTAGATCATGAATAGTCAGGACCCTGGGGTTCACCACACCCTGCGTGTTCTCTGGGAATGGCTGCAAGCATTCTTGAATTCAGGGTTGGCCACTGATCGGACTTCCTGATGCGCCTCTTCCCGCACTCTCTAGTGCACAGGTTACGAAGTGTTCAGTCAGTTTCAAGAATGTCGGCTCCTTCTCTTGTGGTGACGATCAGCAACTTCCCAAGGCCTGTGACATGGGGGCCGGGGTGGGGGTGAGGGAGTGTCTCCTTCCTGTGGCCCCAGAGAGGAGGCTGCTCTCATAATGGAGACAGGGCAGTGTAACATTGGGATTAGAAAAGAGAGAGGAATTTCTTCAACTTGCCCGGGAGAACTGGTCTTCCAGCTTGCTGGCCCTGGCTTAGTCACCGCCTTTGGAAGCTGTTGGTCACACTCTCGGGTCAGAAAGGTAGGAGGCAAGGCGTGTTTCCCCGGTCTTCTGTTAGTCTTTGTCTTGGTGGGCTCTTGTGGGCCCCTTGTTTTCTGAGCGGATCAGCAAGGGAGCAAGCATGGTTCTCTGACCTCTAACCTCTATTCCAAAACCCACACACTATTTCACAACACACTGGAGAAGAGTATAAAATAGTTACATATATATATATATATTTATGATTTTACTCTATCTAGATTCTGGGAACTACTGACCTGCAAGAACTTTCCAAAAATAAAGGAAGAGACAGGTAGGAATTCGGATGAGAATAGTTATCAAAATAGTCGACTATTTTGGGAAAAAGCACATGAAGTTATAGTTTATCTGGTGGTTCACCATCTCCTTCAGAGAACGGTTTAACAGTTGATAGCCAGAACACAACCTGCAGGGCTCAAACTTGCCACATTGTGACAAAGGGGGACTCTGCATGAAGGACATCTGGTGTCCATGCTTCTCATAGGTTACAAAAGTTAGCCCCAAGCACTGTCGAACTCAGCCCTTCAAAGTACAGGAATAGAAGACAGGAGACCCTAACAAGGCTTTGGGTTTGCAACTGGTGCTTTAGATAGCCTCAAAGAAGTCAGTTAACAGAGCCTTCATTTGTGGCTATATCTATGGATGCATGAATCTATCATTTTAGGAACTTTTTGAAAACCCTCTCTGCACTTAGTGCTGATGTTTGATTATAAAGATAAAACACTGGACCAAGTACAATCACTTTTCATGAACCCTGTGATCTAGTGTCTTCATATAAAATCTGAGTAGGTGTGCACACCATTTCAAACTGAGATCTGTCCCTAAGTTAGTGATCCTTCAACTTCTCATCCTCTGTGTCTTTACAATCTGAAAATGACTAAAGTTCCCACAGATCTTTTGTAGGTACAGGTCCTATTGGTCAATATTTAATGCAATTCAAAACTGGAAAATCTTAGTGTAGAGGTATAAGCAGACACACACTGAATTTGATGACAGATTTTTTTCTGATAGTCATTTATAATTACTTTTATGTATATGTGTTTGTGCATATGTATATGTGTGAGGGAGACATGGGGAAGAGAGGGGGGAGGAACGAGGGAGAAGAGGAGAGGGAGGAGAAGGAGGGAGTTTATGTGTGTGTATCACAGGCTCACAGGCATGTAAGGACACACTGAGATAGAGCCAGGTCCCCTGGAACTGGAGTTGTGAGCTGCCTGAGGTGGGTGCTGGGAACTGAACCTAGGTCTTTTGCCAGAGCCATAACCCCTGCTCCATCTGGTAGCCCCCAGAGTTTTGTTCTTACTCTTGTGTATTGGTTAGACAACATCAGTTGTATTGGGTGGGTTTCATGACAATTTCCTATATCCATGAACTTCGATCATATTTAACCCTTTATAACTCTTTCCTGACTTATTTCCTCCTCTTCTGCCATGCTTCTGAAGTTCCTTTCCCACCAAATGAACAGCATTACGTTAAGGCGCGGATCCTCTGGAGAATTCCGTTGTACACAGAAGAAATGACGTCAGAGGAAAAGGAAGTGGTTTCAGAATTGTTGTGAATATGGTCTTTCACTTCACAGGCTCTCTGGAAATTATTTTATAACCATCCTAGCATTTTTTTTAGACTACACTAAAGCACAGGACCCTAAAGTAGTCAGTTTATGCTACTGCAATT